GTGTTGTTTGTCTCTGAGGACAAGCTAGTGTTGTTCATCTCTGAGGACCAGTTAGTGTTGTTTGTCTCAAAGGACTAGCTAGTGTTGTTTGTCTCTGAGGACCAGCTAGCATTGTTTGTTTCTGAGGACTAGCTAATGTTGTTTGTCACTAACGACTAGCGTATGTTGTTCGTCTCTAAGGACCAGCTAATGTTGCTTGTCTCTGAGGACTAGCTAGTGTTGTTTGTTTTTGAGGACCAACTAGTATTGTTTATCTCTGAAGACTAGCTAGAGATGTTTAACTCTGAGGACTACCTGGTGTTGTCTGTCTCTGAGGACTACCTAGTGTTGTTTGTCTTCGAGGACTAGCTAGTGTTGTTTATCTTTGAATACTACCTAGTGTTGTTCGTCTCTGAGGACCAGTGTGTGTTGTTTGTTTCTGAGGACTAGCTAGTATTGTTTGTCTTCGAGGACTAGCTAGTGTTGTTTATCTCTGACGACTACCTAGTGTTGTTTGTCTTTGAGGATTAACTAGTGTTGTTTGTCTCTGAGGACAAATTAGTGTTGTTTGTTCATGAGGAATATCTACTGTTTGTTGTGGAAGTTGTTTTGTTTTTGTTTTTATCTTTCGGCCAGGTTTGTGTCGTTTGTCCCTGAGGACCGGTGTGTGTTGTTTGTCTCTGAGGACTAGCTTGTGTTGTTTTGTCTCTGAGGACTAGCTAGTGTTGTTTATCTCTGAGGACTAGCTAGTGTTGTTCACTCTGGGGACTAGCTAGTGTTGTTTATCTTTGAATACTACCTAGTGTTGTTTGTCTTCGGAGGACTAGCTAGTGTTGTTTGCCTCTGAGGACTAGCTAGTGTTGTTCACTCTGAGGACTAACTAGTGTTGTTTATCTCTGAGGACTAGCTCGTGTTGTTTGTCTCTGAGGACTAGCTAGTGTTGGTTGTCTCTGAGGACTAGCTAGTGTTGTTTGTCTCTAAGGACTAGCTAGTGTTGGTTGTCTCTGAGGACCAGCTATTGTTGTTGTTTGTCTCTGAGTATCAGCAAGTGTTGGTTGTCTCTGAGGACTAGCTAGTGTTGTTTATCTCTGAAGACTAGCTAGTGTTGGTTGTCTTTGAGGACCAGCTATTGTTATTGTTTGTTTCTGAGTATCAGCAAGTGTTGTTTGTCTCTGAGGACCAGCATGTGTTTTTTTGTCTCCGAGGACCAGCTAGTGTTGTTTATCTCTGAGGACTAGCTAGTGTTGTTTATCTCTGAGGACCAGCTAGTGTTGTTTATCTCTGAGGACCAGCTAGTGTTGTTTATCACTGGGGACCAGCTAGTGTTGTTTATCACTGAGGACCAGCTAGTGTTGTTTGTTTATGAGGAACATGTACTGTTTGTAGTGGAAGTTTTGTTGTTGTTTTTATCTCGGGGCCAGGTAGTGTTGTTCATTTCATGAATGTCTACTATTAGAAGTTTCTTTGTTATGGCTATCGTTTTTTACTCGAGAGCGGATGGAAAACTGTTGTTGACAAACAGACTGAGGTGGATCATTGAAAGGGTTTTATATAGTCCTGTAATAGTAGCTATATTTAAATTTTCCTGATGTTAATTTTACTTCTGTGTTACTACAATCACGCGTGACTTCACCCTTTGCACATGTCATACTACATTATAACTTTTCTCAAATGATGATTAACAAATAAACATTATACTGACTTACAAATCTGACTACAAATATTCCCCCCGACACACCCAGTACATGTGTTCTGCAGTAAACCAACTGACCTGCCTAAACAATGATTAATTACAAAAACTTACCCCAATAGTTGTTTAACTAGTTCTTTTATGAGAATGTGTTTAACTATCCAAGAAACAATTCCCACCAGGGATGTTTACTGAAATAAAAATAACAATGATGAGCATACCAAGCCAAAAATCTCTGGCCAGGTAGACATTGATATCGGATGTTGGGGTATGATACCCCAACACAGTACCGGTAGGGTCGGTGTAAGTCAGTACATTGTCTGATTCAGATGCTGACATCAAAGATGACCAGCCTATAATCCTGGCCATATAGTCTACCAAAGCAGGACTGCTCATTAATATTTCACAATCTTCCTCATTCTAAAACACTTAATCTTCTCTATTGACTTCACAACTGTACATCTTGGGCAAAAACTTGATTGTGTGTTATAAATTTTGTACTTGTTTTCCACCCAAAAATAAAATCTATATTAAAGAAAAATGTCACATTATTCCAATATCACTAATGCAAGAATTAAACAGGTGTAAGAGAGTGATTATCCACTCCGATTTGTAGTCTAAGGGAGATAACCTACCGTGTAAGTCAGTGTTACACCAGAGTACAGCAGGCAACGCACTATCAAACAAAACAAACTCACTCGATTTTTATCATCTGATGCAAATATGTTTCAAATGTCCTGATGAAGAAATACTTATAAAGGGTGATTCCTGTACTTTGTTTGCAGACATACCTATCTGTCATTTGATTTAGTTTAAATAAACTAGAAAAACATTATCAACATTTTTTATAATTTCTGTTTGAGGTGTATGTCATGCTAACATGAAAGAAAACATTTCTCAATCACCCTGTGAGTTTGTTGTCCTCATCAAAAATTACAAAACGATATGATGAGTCTCCTGAACAGACATTTTATTGAATTTCAATAATGTTCAACAAAACTAGGATTTAATTTTCACAAGCTTAGCAACAAAAGTCAACTTAGCACAAAACGAAGATTTCAGCAGTAACACCAAATGTTTCTTCCTCGATGAAGTAGATAATCTCATGGAAATTTGTCACAGGAGACTTGTCAGTTCAGATTTGTCAAAGGAGATATGTCAGTTACAGACTTGTCAGGGTAAGTTTGCCAGTGCAGACTTGTCAGGGTAGACTTGTCAGTGTAGACTTGTCAATGCAGACTTGTCAGGATAGACTTGTGAGTGCAGAGTTGTCAGGATAGACTTGTGAGTGAAGAGTTGTCAGTGTAGAGTTGTCAGTGTAGAATTGTCAGTGTAGACTTTTCAGTGTTGACTTGTCAGGATAGACTTGTCAGTGTTGACTTGTCAGGATAGACTTGTGAGTGCAGAGTTGTCAGGATAGACTTGTCAGTGCAGAGTTGTCAGGGTGGACTTGTCAGGGTAGACAGGTGAGTGCAGAGTTGTTAGGATAGACTTGTCAGTGCAGAGTTGTCAGCGTAGACTTGTCAGTGCAGAGTTGTCAGGGTAGACTTGTCAGTGCAGAGTTGTCAGTGTAGACTTGTCAGTGCAGAGTTGTCAGTGTAGACTTGTGAGTGCAGAGTTGTCAGGATAGACTTGTGAGTGCAGAGTTGTCAGGGTAGACTTGTGAGTGCAGAGTTGTCAGTGTAGACTTGTCAGTGCAGAGTTGTCAGTGTAGAGTTGTCAGTGCAGAGTTGTCAGTGCAGAGTTGTCAGTGTAGAGTTGTCAGTGTAGAATTGTCAGTGTAGACTTTTCAGTGTTGACTTGTCAGGATAGACTTGTCAGTGTTGACTTGTCAGGATAGACTTGTGAGAGCAGAATTGTCAGGGTGGACTTGTCAGTGTAGACTTGTCAGTTTGTCAGTGTAGACTTGTCAGGGTAGACTTTTCAGTGTTGACTTGTCAGGATAGACTTGTCAGTGTTGACTTGTCAGGATAGACTTGTGAGTGCAGAATTGTCAGGGTGGACTTGTCAGTGTAGACTTGTCAGTTTGTCAGTGTAGACTTGTCAGGGTAGACTTTTCAGTGTTGACTTGTCAGGATAGACTTGTGAGTGCAGAGTTGTCAGGGTAGACTTGTCAGTGTAGACTTGTCAATGCAGAGTTGTCAGAGTAGAGTTGTCGGCATAGACTTGTCAGTGCAGAGTTCTCAGCATAGACTTGTCAGTGCAGAGTTGTCATGGTAGACTTGTGAGTGCAGAGTTGTCAGTGTAGACTTGTCGGTGCAGAGTTGTCAGTGTAGACTTGTCAGTGTAGAGTTGTCAGGGTAGACTTGTCAATTGTCAGTGCAGACTTTTCAGGGTAGACTTGTCAGGGCAGCCTTTTCAGGGTAGACTTGTCAGTGCAGAGTTGTCAGGGTAGTCTTGTCAGTGCAGAGTTGTCAGTGTAGAGTTGTCAGTGTAGAATTGTCAGTGTAGACTTTTCAGTGTTGACTTGTCAGGATAGACTTGTGAGAGCAGAATTGTCAGGGTGGACTTGTCAGTGTAGACTTGTCAGTTTGTCAGTGTAGACTTGTCAGGGTAGACTTTTCAGTGTTGACTTGTCAGGATAGACTTGTGAGTGCAGAATTGTCAGGGTGGACTTGTCAGTGTAGACTTGTCAGTTTGTCAGTGTAGACTTGTCAGGGTAGACTTTTCAGTGTTGACTTGTCAGGATAGACTTGTCAGTGTTGACTTGTCAGGATAGACTTGTCAGTGTTGACTTGTCAGGATAGACTTGTGAGAGCAGAATTGTCAGGGTGGACTTGTCAGTGTAGACTTGTCAGTTTGTCAGTGTAGACTTGTCAGGGTAGACTTTTCAGTGTTGACTTGTCAGGATAGACTTGTGAGTGCAGAATTGTCAGGGTGGACTTGTCAGTGTAGACTTGTCAGTTTGTCAGTGTAGACTTGTCAGGGTAGACTTTTCAGTGTTGACTTGTCAGGATAGACTTGTCAGTGTTGACTTGTCAGGATAGACTTGTCAGTGTTGACTTGTCAGGATAGACTTGTGAGAGCAGAATTGTCAGGGTGGACTTGTCAGTGTAGACTTGTCAGTTTGTCAGTGTAGACTTGTCAGGGTAGACTTTTCAGTGTTGACTTGTCAGGATAGACTTGTGAGTGCAGAATTGTCAGGGTGGACTTGTCAGTGTAGACTTGTCAGTTTGTCAGTGTAGACTTGTCAGGGTAGACTTTTCAGTGTTGACTTGTCAGGATAGACTTGTCAGTGTTGACTTGTCAGGATAGACTTGTCAGTGTTGACTTGTCAGGATAGACTTGTCAGTGTTGACTTGTCAGGATAGACTTGTGAGTGCAGAATTGTCAGGGTGGACTTGTCAGTGTAGACTTGTCAGTTTGTCAGTGTAGACTTGTCAGGGTAGACTTTTCAGTGTTGACTTGTCAGGATAGACTTGTCAGTGTTGACTTGTCAGGATAGACTTGTGAGTGCAGAGTTGCCAGGGTAGACTTGTGAGTGCAGAGTTGTCAGGGTAGACTTGTCAGTTGTCAGTACAGACTTTTCAGGGTAGACTTGTCAGTGCAGACCTGATGACATCTTCTGTTCAGTCTAGGACACTGTCTAACCAGTCTTCTAAGTTTTTGGTTTCTTTTTGTAATCCTGAAAAAAAAAAACAACACTCTCAAGCTGTAAATCAGTAAGTGACTCAGAATGACTTTTTCTAAATGTACAATGATATTTCAATTAAAATTTGGTCAGAAAAATATCAGTAATTGTGTCATGTAATGGGAACATTTTGCACTGTATAAAGGGTTTATTGGTAGAAAATTAGAAAAACAATAATTATTGCTTTTAACTGAAATATCTAGGTTGGGGTGCGTGTGCATTTTTGCTTTTTATTTTAATTTAGAAGGAAAACTAAGGAAGGTCTGGGAAAATCTTTTATAACATGTCGCCAGGTAAAAATACTAGGCTCTTATTGGCACTTAGTAATATGCACTGTTTAAGTCAGAACTCCCCCTCTAAGCATAGTAAAAATAATTACCAAAATAAAAAAAAATTGCCTACCTCTACCCACCCTATTTTTTCTTAGGATGACAGGTGGGACACACATTTTGTTTGGCCTTAAGCATGCCAAATTTTTATTTGACTGGTGCATGTTGAGGCTTTCAAAATTTCATATGGGTAGTATTTTGTGGATTTGCTTCAAAATGGCCAGTTATCAAAGTACATAGCATACAACAGACAATATTCTTACATTTTAATGTAAAATGCTGGTTTACACTACTCTTTGTTACGCCACATCTTCTATACCAGGTATCATATGAATGTGATATTTCTTATCTGCATACTTCATTTATCCCAGATTACAAAATATAACAACTAATTCTAAATCCCTGATGAGGCTCTGGAAATGGCCCTTGATACCTCTAGTCCTTTCTCTTCAGCTAATTTGGTAAAGTGTCAGACTAGTAAATCTGAGATCCTTAATTGAATTACCGGCAAGAACATTGGAAAACAACAGGCCTAGAGGGCCTGTATTGCTCACCTTGATGATAAGCAACCATGGAAAGTTATTCTTATTACATATAATACATATGTATTCCCAACTATTTCCTAATTGGCTCTGTCTCTCAGCAACACCACCCTGTCTCTCAGCAACACCACCCTGTCTCTCAGCACCACCCCCCTGTCTCTCAGCAACCCCTCCCTGTCTCTCAGCAACACGACCCTGTCTCTCAGCTACACCATCCTGTCTCTCAGCGACCCCCCCCTGTCTCTCAGCGTCTCCACCCTGTCTCTCAGCTACACCATCCTGTCTCTCAGCGACCCCACCCTGTCTCTCAGCAACACCACCCTGTCTCTCAGCAACCCTCATGAGGTCCCTTCTTTTTGCCTCCATGAATTGGGGTGGATTTTAAACATTAATCTCAATTTCCCCTATGAGGTCCTGCCTGCCCCTCAGCCCCCTAAAAGCAACCCTCACTTTATACAAAATTGAGTCCCCAAGCCCGAGGATGCTCTACATAAAATTTGGTTAAAATTCTTACCAATAAACAGAAGGAAAAGGTTCTTAAACATCTATTACTATGTTCCTCCTACTGGATCCTTCCCCTTTGCTCTAAGGGAGATCACACTCTCTGTTAAAACAAAATGAGTCCCACTTGCCAATTAACGCTTTGGACCAAGTTGGTTAAAATCCCTCAAATCATACTAAAGGAGAAGGATTTTAATCAGTTATTACTACATTTCCCCTATTGGGCCTCGTCCCTCTGCCCCCAAGGGGAGCAACATTGTCCCTTTAAACAAGGATGTTTCAGGCCAAATTTGGATAAAAGCTCGTTATTGGTACAGAAAAAGGATTTTAAAGATTTAAACCTTGAATTCCCATATTGGGCTCCACTCCTCTGTTCCCAGAGGGACCACACACTCTATTTATACAAAATTGAGTCTCCTTTGCCCATGGATGCTCCAGGCCAAGTTTGAAAAAAAAACCTACAATGGTACAGAGGAAGACAAATTTGATGTATTTAAACTTCAAATTCCCTTATTTGGCCCCGCCCCTCTGCACCAAGAGAGGCCACACTCTTCGTTTATACAAAATTGAGCCCCCTTTGTCTCTGGATACTCCAGGGCAATTTTTATAAAATCCCTCAAATGGTACAGAAGAAAAAGGATTTTAAAGATTTTAACCTCAAATTCCCCTATTTGGCCCCACTCATGTGTTGTGTTTGTATTGGTTGGTATGTGTTGTGTTTATTTGTGTTGTGTTTGTATGTGTTGTGTTTATTTGTGTTGTGTTTGTATGTGTTGTGTTTGTATGTATTGTGTTTGTATGTGTTGTGTTTGTATGTGTTGTGTTTGTATGTGTTGTGTTCATATGTGTTGTGTTTATATGTGTTGTGTTTATATGTGTTGTGTTTGTATGTGTTGTGTTTGTATGTGTTGTGTTTGTATGTGTTGTGTTTGTATGTGTTGTGTTTGTATTTGTTGTTTCCATTCTTTGAGTTTACCTGTGTTTGAGGCAGAACTTTGTGTCTGTTGTGGAGGAGTTGTCACTTTTTCTTGGACACCTGCAATGAAAATGTGAACGTACATCACGTGTAAATCTTTATTATGCCACATTTTTAATGTTACCTTCGTAAACATTTACATCAGGTATCCAGTTAATCAATCATCTAGCTGTAGTATTAATGTAATAAATAAATACAACCCGGATGTTTGAGATGAATGATAATTATGTTAAGCTGGCCAGGCAAGGATACAGCAATGATACAGCAAAGGTACAGCAAGGATATAACAAGGGTACAGCAAGGATACAGCAATGATACAACAATGATACAGCAATGATACAACAAGGGTACAGCAAGGATATAATAAGGGTACAGCAAGGATACAGCAAGGGTACAGCAAGGATATAGCAGGGGGTAGACAAAGCCACACTGACCGACAATGAATAACATACAAAATCTCCACTGGCCTCAATTTTATCCTTTCCCCTATTAGGGATAGGGAGTAACACAAAGTTGAATAATAATTTTCTTTTAGTTTATTCCCCTATAAAGTCCCACCTCTCTATCCTAAGTAAGATCACAAGATTTATTTTCGGATATACAAAATCAAATTGCTTCGTCTAGCAATGATTCTTACTTACTTTATGGTAATTAGTCAATCCACTCTCCATGGAGTTTACCAACAAGTTAACTATAGTATTACCAATGTCACTATTGTGAAATATTTAAGTCCTTTTCAACAGAAATATTCCATAAAAATCCTATGTTGCTACCTGCATCTTACAGAATCATTGACACTGGAAAATTTAATGTTTGAAAAAAAGAAAGAAAAAACCCTAACGAAATACAAAGCAATAGCAGGGGTCGGACTCGTGTTCTTTACATTGGAAAGCCTACCCTTACTAATGTTGCCATACGTGAAATACAGAAATATATCTTCAAAATTAGAGTTCAATTTATGGGCCGCAAAGCATATGAAAAAGTCGCAAATATTTCTAACTTGCATCTTCCAACACATTACTGTCAATACTCAATAGGATAAGGCACTTCGACCGCGATCCAGAAGAACTACGGTAATAATTAGGACAAAAACATGCTCAAAACTATTTTCATTTTGATGAAATCATTCACATATAAAAGAAGTCAACAGAATGATATAAAAATAAAAACAAACTTGTGAAAACGGAATATTCTGATCTTTCTGAGGAGTATATATGACTAAAGAAATACCTGGGAGTTTTATTAGTTTTCAGAGAAGAAAAGGCTGTCAGGACCACATGGATATATAAGCTTTAATTTGGGACCTTAAAACTTACTATTTTGGTGAGTTGTCTCCCCTAGATCACTGACATCTGAAGGATTGTCGAGTGACAGAAGAAAGTCTAAATCATCATCTAGGTTACTACTGGTCACACCACCTATCTCCTCACTTGTGTTTACATGTGTGTTAATTACAGGTGTTCTAAAAACAGGCGTACTGTCGACACAGGTAGGCACACCCGTACTACATGACAGATCTTTGGGACTAGACGCAACTTCTGTGAATCTCTGACAATCTGTTACAGTCTTTACTGAATGTCCATCATCTACTGGCCTGTTTGAACTCTGTTTTATAACACCTGACATATCAGTTCCTGAATCTACTACTCCTGTTACTGTGTCGTTGTGAGCTGGGGGCAATGTCTGGTCTGCAGTGAAATAACTTGGTTTGTTCTGCTGTGTAAGGTCTACAGCGTGAACATTTTGTTTGTTCTGCTGTGTAAGGTCCACAGCACGAGATCTTGGTTGGTATTCCTGTGCATTCTCTCTAGCAATGGATTCCATCTCCTGTATCTGCTCAGTCTAGAAAAAGACAAAAGGTAGAAACATACATTATTATCTTTTAAAGACGGACATTGATATCCAGGTACTCATGATCATGGGTAGATGTGTTTTAAGTGGTTCATCAATCAGTTTTATCAAAGAGCATGAACCTTTACAAAATAATTGAGCCTTATTAAAGATACAATATTAAAATTTGTGAATTTCAAGTATAACATATAGATATAGATAGATAGAAAATATCATTGTGAGTACAGTAGGTGCAAATAAAAGGTATGACACAATTTTTATATTTATCATAAACACATTTCAGTCTGCTAAATATTACACAGAGAATAGCTTTGAATCAATCACTCGAGTGTTGCAGACTGTTGGAGTTCTCTTCTGTCAACGTCCTTTCATTTACGATACACACAAAACCATTTATCAGAGAATGCGTTGAATTCAATGACCGATATCTACAATCTTAGAATGTAGCTTTCTATGTTTGTTTTTTTTAAGTTGGAATGAAAATTGGTACAGGTTCTGTTAAATACCTATCAATAAACTAAAGAGATCCTGCTTTCTTCCTCTTTAAAACTTGTACAGTGGTGTCCAGGAAACCATTACTGACTATGGTACAATGAGGTAATACAACTGTTATTTACACTACCTTGTATGTTACTGTTAATTTTTGTTCTATGTCATCATTTGTCCACTGGAAATTTAGAATCAAAATAGGTTTGGGCAATATATATCCTGGTAGATAAAGGAATTGTTAACAAAAAGACAACAAGAGTACCGCGGGACGGAACAATATACACCCGTCGAATGCCATAAAGTGTTATATACCTTCTTACATTGAATCAAGATCTGCATCATTCTAAGAGTGGTTAGCTGACATGCTATAGAAAATGTAGGAGAAAATCTCCGGACAAAAAATCAAATACTGAAATGAACAAATTTTAAAGGGCAATAACTTTTGCAAAAAATGTTGAAACAAAATTCTTTTAAGGGAGACGCAACTTCATATCATGATTATAATGTATACCAAGTTTCACAGAAATCCGTTGAAAAATGTAGGAGGAGAATGCCGGACAAACAAAAGTTTACCCTTATACTCCCATCAAATTTGACGGGCGTATAAAAAGGGACTTTGAAGTATGACGGTGGTAAATGTAGTGTCAATAGAAACGAGAGATTATAATGAGGTCTTATTGTATAAAACATAACAGACTACAGTAGATGTTAAATGTACCTACACTAAACATAACAGACTACAGTAGATGTTAATTGTACCTACACTAAACATTACAGACTACAGTAGATGTTAACTGTACCTACACTAAACATAACAGACTACAGTAGATGTTAATTGTACCAACACTAAACATTACAGACTACAGTAGATGTTAATTGAACCTACACTAAATATTACAGACTACAGTAGATGTTAATTGTACCTTCACTAAACATAACAGACTACAGTAAATGTTAATTGTACCTACACTAAACATAACAGACTACAGTAAATGTTAATTGTACCTACACTAAACATAACAGACTACAGTAAATGTTAATTGTACCTACACTAAACATAACAGACTACAGTAAATGTTAATTGTACCTACACTAAACATAACAGACTACAGTAAATGTTAATTGTACCTACACTAAACATAACAGACTACAGTAAATGTTAATTGTACCTACACTAAACATAACAGACTACAGTAAATGTTAATTGTACCTACACTAAACATAACAGACTACAGTAAATGTTAATTGTACCTACACTAAACATAACAGACTACAGTAAATGTTAATTGTACCTACACTAAACATAACAGACTACAGTAAATGTTAATTGTACCTACACTAAACAGATCCTGTTCTATCCCAAGTCTTTGGTATAGAGGTATACATTGGATACTGGCTGTGAGGTCGGACAGGTCCACAGCTAACAGCTTAGTGTCTGTCGACACACTCTCACTGTCATCCCAATCTTCTTCCTCCTTAAAGCGAAACTGGGAACTAGTTCCCCCTGTCAACAGAGACCAACTATTAGCTTTAAAACATACTGTTAAAACTGTATTGAATAAAACTTAACTCCTATCCTACACCCTTGGGCATGAAAGAGTATTGTTCTCTATTTCCAACCAACAGAATAAGCTCAGAAACCATGAAAATGCGTTCAACTGGCCACCATTTTGAAAATATCAATTTCTCACCTGCTTTTTGGACAAAAACGAATCAGCCAGCCAGATCTAGCATATCCCATATTTGCCAACAATTGTAAAGAAAAAATAATCACAACTTTCTAACATGTACGGTAAATATATCGTAAAAGGTTTTAATTTCATCACGTCGCTTTGTCCCCATCAGAGTTCCAAATATTTGACGTCACGTCATTGTTGAGCCATTGTGATGTCACGTCACGTGAAATGGGATGTAAGATAGAATTTTCCTACCCTACTTTCTTACCCTGGACAGCTCTATCTTACACACAGGGAAATGAGAGAAAATACTTATCTAGTGTAATAGGTGTAAATTAAGGGATGTTGTTTATAAAAGAGATTTCTCATTGTAATTTGTAATTATTTATTCCTATGCTACGCTATACATTTGTAAAACATTTAAATTATTTTAGCTATTACCCACCAAACAATTTACCCACACATATAACAAGATATAATATGTACCAGAGTGTTTAATCAAATATATGTTAGTATGACTACTCAAATTAGATACTCTAAGACAATAAGTTTAACACAGAAAAACCATCAATATGCACGCTATCAGCCGCCTTCAAACATACCAGCTGTGTTTAAAAGGTTGAGAAAGTCCTCTCCCTTTTTCTGCGCTGTCTCTGCATCCGGGGGAAGTATTTCATATCGTGCCCAATTACTGACAACTTCTCTGCGCTGGAATGTCTTACTGATTGTCGCCGAGGCCTGATCATTGTCACTGGTCTGTGGAAGGAAATCAGTGTAAATATTTTACAAATTTTCTGTTTTCCTGGTCATTTTAGTAAAAATAAGAATACCTGTAAATTACATATTCAGATACATTTAATTGTACTTCATTTCAGCAGTAATTTTACCACAATGGAAATATGAATGGTGGAAGGGGTTTAACCTTAATTTTATTGAATCAACTGCAGAGAGGCTGAGTGAACATAATGGACTGCAGACTTTGGAGGGTGCATGTGGATGCACCATGATACATTGAACCTAACAGTGTGCCAATATAATGGAACAGGGCTGGATCAATTGGCCTATTAACATGTAGTTAGGCTGGTTAAGTCTCCAGTTGTGATTTCCTGGTTCAATTTCAGGTCTTGGGTTTGGCTCATTTTGCCCTAGAAAAACAACTTGTTGACCCCAGAGTTTGTGATTAAGAGCATCAAGGTAATATCTATCAAAGTACTACCTGCGGTGATGGAAAGAACACATGTTCCATATTTTAAATCAAATTACAATTAAAATTATGTGTCTTTAGATTACGAGCTGGCTATCAAAGCATTGTAACTGCTGTACATTATTTTATGTTTGTTGTCAGACATGAAACATTTGTTGATGTATATTTTAGTTAAACAGATCTTTATTGAGCAATAGGGCAAAAAGGAAAATCCCAAAGTTTTTTGTGCCCTGTTGTCAGTGTTAATATTATATTATGAACAATACAGCACTGATACATGTTCTTTATAATATGTAGCTTATATCAATCAGTCACACTGAGCTGGTACAGTATGAGAGAAATCTAACCATAGTGATACCATTAGTGCATTTAACTATTCAATATGATCACTACCTTTAAATGCTGGTCACTTTCCACAGACAGAAAAAGATAGCAGTATGCTTTTTTACAAAACTATGAATTATATTCAATAAAATGGTCAGATATTTGCTAATTGCTGCACTCATCACTGAAGAGAATGAAAATCGCATTCTACAGTAGCTTTTTTTGGAAAGCTCATACTTTTTCCAACATTTTAAAGTATTTATATATGATGCCATCATCCCTCCGCTTCCAGGGCGTATAACATCTTACATCACTACTAGACGAAGAATGTAACAATTTTGCAGCACCGCTGATGTGACTGCCAAAATGTTTTCCCTGTGCTTTCTGGTCTACTTTCACTTTGCCCTTTCCGCTCGTGCTCCTTGATTTCGGTTGGTGCGAATCTTTCGGTTTCTCATCTTTACTCATGCCATGCTTCTTTTTATATTGAGCGCTCCTCTTCCTCTTATGTTCATCTGGCCTCATACCTGAAAAGGTAGCTTTAGTACATGTACAGCTACACTATAACTTACAGGCAACCCAACGTGTTGTATACTTCCGGTAAGCGCGATAAAGTAGTATGAAGTCCGAATACCGGTTTAAATTTCCGGATCCAGAATGGTGGCGCTCATGAATGAGGTTGAATTGATGTACATCTTGGACGGTGTATGATTTCAATGAAAGCAAGGAATTGTAAATGACAACATGAAAAAAACTTCATCAGATGACCACGATATATTGATCTAATTTCAAAGAATTTCGTAAATTTTGTATCTATGTATTCTTCTAAAGTACTGCTTGTAGTGAAATTCTGTCAAAAACGAATAATATCAGTAATATAAAAAAACCTAAAAAAACCACCAATATAGCATGTGGACAATAGACATAGACATGCAAGAAAATATAATTCCCCCCCCTTCCTCCCCCTCCCCCTTCCTCCCTCCCCCAACAGAAAGGTTTAAATTTGTTTTTATTTTTGTTCATTTTGTAGAAAATATTGGACTTCAACTTCTTCTTCATTTTGCAGTGCAAGATTCATCTTGAATGTTAACACACTTGTGTTCTAAATGTACTGAGCATATGAGACCAGTATAAAGACTTACCCATGCAAAATAAAGGGAAAGAAGAAGAAATGTGTATTATAATTTATTGATCAAGTATTGCTTTCTGTTGGCCTCTGGTATGATAAATGAATCTATCAAAAATAGCATGGACTTTGTGATAGATCTAATCTAATTCTGTGAAATATAGTGAAACTCTAAAGCCATGAGGCTTACAAACATTTCGTCTGGTGATAATTCTAAGGTACAACAAACACACAGTGCCCTCCACAGACTAGTAATTATACACAACATGACCTCAGGTGCTCGGATTCTGGAATATATGTGATATATTATCGCACCCCTCTAGATATCGCACCCCCTTATACTAATGATTTATTAGTCTCCGCGAGGGAGAGACCAAACCCCAAGGATTCCACGACGGAAATGCCATGGGGTTAAACCCATATCCCGGAGGATAGGGGAAAGGTCCCGCGGGCTGGGAGTGACCCCAGAACTGGCCAAACTGGCCTGCCTGAGACTGGGGCTGGCCAACTTGCATACTAAAGTTATGGTAAGTATTACATCATGAAAATAGGTTTTACTTCAAAAACCTCAAATTTTAAGAACCTGTTTAAAAAGAAGTCTCTGTCATCATGATCAGGAGTCAAACAATATCACAGGCTCATTCACCCAAGTTAAATGACTTTAGAGTTGTGACTTCAAAATAACTTCCTGATCCAAACTTAAAAATGTAACCACACGCACATATTATTATTCACAAAAAGACATTATCAAATCTCCATACATCCATTTTCCATTTTACCAGTTTAGTGTAATTGTTTCAATGATAAGACTCTGTCTATGGTTGTGATTCACCGCTGGTTATAATATATCCTTTCTTTAAGTAATATTTTAAAAGTTATCTTCTCTGTAATTTTAGGATCACAATCACTCTACATGACTATGCATTTCTTAACATCAAATCTGTCAATCAAAAGTATATAGTTCCATTCAATCCTTGATATGGAAATCTTAACAAGGAACCTATTCTAATACAATTCCTGATCAGACATAGAAAGTTTACTCCAATAAATATCTCAAAGGACTCAGAGGGCTTCAGTGGTTATCTTAACTGTGACCGAAGTCAGGGCCATGTGAACGATTAAAAAGGAGTGTGTGAAAATGATTTCAGTGACATTTTCTTTATATTTTAACATTTCTTTCATTTCTTTCATAAATAAATGAAAGAAACTAAGTAAAACATTTTAGAATAGGATTTCATTGCAGGTTTAAGAAAGCTACTGCTTTTATATCTAAAAAATAAGGATCTCTATGTGTTGTTATCTTTGATAGAGATGACAAGGTGTTCGGCCTTGTTTAACATGTCAGAACACTTTCTATACCTAAACCAAACCTTGAGAATCATGGCCAAACGACTGCCAGCACACAGAGTTAATAACAATCCTCATGATATTGTCAGAATTGTATTTTCTTAAAAATGTAAATTGTGTTTGTAGAATATGACATATTAAAGGTATGATTTTTTTTTATTTCTGTATTGCCCAAACTAAAGATATAGGGAATCTGAATTGATTATAGTAATCTATGGTGGCCCATTAATTAGAAGTGACACCCCGCGGGTGAGTAGCACCACCTGATACAGCTTGGCAGCACAGGGTCAGGTCTGCCCCGCGGACACACAGGTACCAGGACAGTTACCCGTGGCATATCAGCTTACAGGCGTCACCTGTCACCATTCTCACCTTGTACAGTCTTCTGTTTAGTTTTGTTTCAAAAAAATCTTATTATTATTTAAATGTAAAATTGATTCTTATTCTATTAACCAAGTATGTCACCTTATTTAAAGTAAGTTATGGATTATTATGGATTTACAGCACCAAGTGACCTGTTTCTTGAACAAAGAAATAATGGTATCATATATTGAATTGTTGACCATGGCTACAAGTCAAGTCTGTCAATATGTTTTTAACATTATAGATCTAGACAATTATAGTATATTTTAAAATAGTGTTTTCTGTGTTATATCACCGCCTGGTAGTGTTTACTGTGTAACATTACTCCCTGGTAGTGTTTACTGTGTTATATCACTCCCTTGTAGTGTTTACTGTGTTACATTACTCCCTGGTAGTGTTTACTGTGTAACATTACTCCCTGGTAGTGTTTACTGTGTAACATCACTCCCTTGCAGTGTTTACTGTTTTATATTACTCCCTGGTAGTGTTTACTGTTTTATATTACTCCCTGGTAGTGTTTACTGTGTAACATTACTCCCTGGTAGTGTTTACTGTGTTATCACACTGTCTGGTAGTGTTTACTGTGTAACATCACTAGCTTGTAGTGTTTACTGTGTTACATTACTCCCTGGTAGTGTTTACTGTGTAACATTACTCCCTGGTAGTGTTTACTGTGTAACATTACTCCCTGGTAGTGTTTACTGTGTAACATTACTCCCTGGTAGTGTTTACTGTGTAACATTACTCCCTGGTAGTGTTTACTGTGTAACATTACTCCCTGGTAGTGTTTACTGTGTTACATTACTCCCTGGTAGTGTTTACTGTGTAACATTACTCCCTGGTAGTGTTTACTGTGTTAAATTACTTCCTGGTAGTGTTCACTGTGTTATATCACTCCCTGGTAGTGTTTACTATGTTACACCACTCCCTGGTAGTGTTTACTGTGTTATATCACTGCCTGGTAGTGTTTACTGTGTTATATTACTCCCTGGTTGTGTTTACTGTGTTATATCACTGCCTGGTAATGTTTACTGTGTTATATCACTCCCTGGTAGTGTTTATTGTGTTATATCACTGCCTGGTAGTGTTTACTGTGTTACATCACTCTCTGGTAGTGTTTACTATGTTACACCACTCCCTGGTAGTGTTTACTGTGTAACATTACTCCCGGGTAGTATTTACTGTGTTATATCACTCCCTGGTAGTGTTTATTGTGTTATATCACTGCCTGGTAGTGTTTACTGTGTTACATCACTCTCTGGTAGTGTTTACTGTGTAACATCACTCCCTGGTAGTGTTTACTGTGTTACATCACTACTTGGTAGTGTTTACTGTGTAACATTACTCCCGGGTAGTGTTTACTGTGTTATATCACTGCCTGGTAGTGGTTACTGTGTTACATCACTCCCTGGTAGTGTTTACTGTGTTACATCACTCTCTGGTAGTGTTTACTGTGTACCATCTCTCCCTGGTAGTGTTTACTGTGTTACATCACTCCCTGGTAGTGTTTACTGTGTAACATTACTCCCTGGTAGTGTTTACTGTGTTATATTACTACTTGGTAGTGTTAACTGTGTTAAACATATACCACTCCCACAAGTTGTTTTTTTATCAGGATAGTGTTTTAATCATGTTGTGATTGAGACATCATTGAACGCATTTAATACTTATAGAAAATGTTGAGTCATTTTAAGCCGTGAAGATGATGATAGGATAAGTTATTAATACTTTATAAAATGTATGATTTAAACCACATGTCTGTATCTGATGTAAACTAACTTGTTTACAATATTTATATCTGAAATATGTTAGTTCTAGTAGTGAAGAAGAGCACAGATTAATAATTAGTGAAGTGTACACAATTAATGATAAGCTAAAATTTGGTTTGTTTGTGATTTTCATCCTGTTAGCAGCTATGGTTATAATTTAAGGACGTGCCAGATTTTGGTGATGGAGGAAAACCAGGGTGACCAGAGAAAAACCACCGACCTGCAGTCAGTGCCTGGCGACTGTCCCATGTAGGCCTCAAAGCTGTAACCCTGTGGTGGAGGGCTAGTGATTGTAGATGGTCAGATGCCTTAACCACTCATCAGCCACCACGGCCCTGTCTAAAGAGAACATAAATATATTATATTGTGTATGAGTTATAAGAGAACTCAGTGAGAAGCTCAAATATACACAATGAAAAATGTTATGATTAAAATTTAAGTTACAGGTTAAATGAGCACATAGGGAAATGACAACGAGTACAATGTTAATTAAGATAGACATATTGAACAGTTATGATGAATATGCTAGGTGATGATGTTGTGAGCACAAGAAGAGGTGTGAGTTGAGTAAAATGAGTACAAGGTATGAGTACCCAGTGAAAAGTAAACATGAATACAGTAAAAAGTTTTAATTACCTCAAAGTGTAAGTGAAAATGAACAAAGTTAGAAGTTATAATAAACAGAGGAGTAGTGACAGATGGCTCACAACAAGGTCAGCAAGGGGCACAAAAAAAAACACCTGGACCAGGCAGTTACTGTTCAATATGTTGAGATTTCACCGTGAATTTACATTTTGTGAGATCAATATAATTAAGTGTCTCCAATGGACAACTGAATATCAGTGTATACAGCATTCACTTCTCATTCCTCCTATTCTGTTTCAGAATGTTGTTGGCTGTTCCAATAATGAAGAAGAATGACTAGAGCGTTTCTAAAGCAGACCAAGTGTTCGTCCCAGTGAGTTAATACTTATTTAGTACGTCAAGACAACACGAGGGACGGAAATCCATCACGAGGGACGAAATC